AATTCACAATTACAGAGGGGTCAGGAACTGCCATCTAATTAGTTACTGGGCTCAGCAAAGTACATCTTTTTCTATAACTAGCATAATTTATAAATATGTGTCTATGTGCAAGCACTGTATCACTGTATATATTTATGTTATATATACACATTTGTCCTATTGGAATTTACAAAAAACCCTGCTTGTATACTTTAGGTTTACAGCTGAAGGAAGCTTCAAAACACAAAACATTTTTATTTATTGGTAAAATTAAAGTGTTCTACTTTTGTGACTATTTATTTGTGAAGAACTTGTATTAAAAGTGTCCTGAGCAGTGAAATACATAAATAATAAAATGAATATCAATAAGAGTGAAGGAGTAATCTACTTAGCTCTTTTTCAGTGTAAAATCCATTGTACTCAGACAGGATCACTGAGTTCTCAGAAGAAGACTTTAAAAATAGCCTTCAAGATCTTAAAATGAGAGGACTAAATGCACAGGATTCTGTCTGCTCAGGAAGAGATGATGCCAGAAAAAAGTTACATACAGTGTAGTGTAAGGCTAGAAGGGCCCAATGCCAGTCCTTTCTCTCTCAAAGCATTTCAGTAACCAATCCACATATACCTTTCTACCTCTGAGTGTTAAAAAATAACTGCAGTTTCAAAAGCATTGCCTATCTGAAAGAAAATACTCCTATTTAAAAATAGGGTAAGCAGTTTTTACAACTGCAACTGACATTCAATAAAGGGCAGAAAGGGGAAGAAACAGGTAGGCTAACACAAATCAAAAACAGTGTAAAAACTAAACACTATGAAATATGCTCTCACCTCTGGAGCCATCCAGAAAGGGGTGCCCACAGAAGTGTTCAGACGGAGACGAGTGCTGGTCAACTGAGCAGACACACCTAAGGGAATAAGGGGAAGCCACGTTGAGTGAGGTGTATTCTTCTGCTTAAGAGATTCCATCTGGACAATACCCTCGTCATCTTGTTCTGGGAATAGGGATGCTATGTATATTGAAGGAAAAATTGTCAAATCTGGTCTTCCCAGTCCTCTGCAAATGGCCCAATCCCCCAAGATACTGGGCACTTCTGTGAGCTGTTGAACATCCTCAACTTCTAATGACTTCAGGGGAACCAGGACTTAGACCTACATGAGTGTTTTATGAGTAACCTGACTCCATATTTTTGAGTGGCTAATTACAGTATTTCTGTACCCTATTTTAAGAGCAAGAAACCACAAGTAGTACTTAGAGAAGCAAAACAATTATTGCTAAAATGTGCTGCCCTTTTTAGTGTGTGTTATTTCTTTTAAATATCCAGCACTGACCAGGGCACATCTTTGTTTTGTACTTCATGTATTTATTTACTTACTCATTTTATCTGATTAAAGGTGTTTACTTTAGGCTATTAGTTGCCCTGCATCATTACAAAAGAGGCACATGTCCACAGAAACAGCAAAACAGTTATTTATTGAGAAAAAAAAATTGAGGTCCCTACCCTCAGCCCATTTCTAGTATCTGATGTCACTCAGCCTGTGGGCTAGCTAAGGGTTCCTGGCCTGGCCTGGACAGCCAAAACAAGCAAAAAAACCCTATTGCATTTATCCCCTCCAGGTAACATCCTGTTTGAATCCATCTGATTTTACTGGCTCCAAAAACCTAGTTTCCTCATAAAAGGACTGATTCACACCAAGTGGAAATAAAACACTACCTAGAACAGATCAACTGGCTTAAAGAAACTCTAGAGAAAAGTATCTGTTTTTTATTCTATTCCATTCTGTTTTTTGTACTTAACTCTGACTCACGGCATGTCTGTACTTGTCCATCATGCAAAATCACTTTACATAAGTACTAAACATTAGACTGCATTAAAGTTCCAATTTGGTACATCAGCCTGTTCTTTAGAGATAAACAAATTCAAAATCATTGCATTTGGTAGTGGCCTCTCTATATTTTATGCTGAGCACAAAACACTGAATCTATTATCCCCTCCATGGTTGTAAAGGCCCAATTGATACCAGAACCACCAGTGGCTGTTTGCATAGCAGGGAGCAGAATAATATAAGCCATTGCAGTCTGTCCCCTTTGCAGATAATGGAGCTCTGGTACACAGCAGTGCAATCCTTGCTATAACAGGAGGAAGTTCTGGGGCTAGGTTTTGCCCAAGGTATCATGGCTACACACAGCTTTCAGGAAAACACACTGAGGAGTATGTAGCAACTATGCATGCTACTACAGCCACTGTAGTGTTCATACAGTGATTTGTCTGCTTTGGTACTGGAGAAAGAGGAGCTTTCTCCAACCAGCATGAACTCCAGCACTAAGCTCATTTACTCAAATTTGGCACAGGAGCCCAGACTTGGATCTGCTGGCAAAGAGAGATGTAGAAAGTAAGGTTTTATTATTACAGCATCAGAGTTTATAAATAATTGCAACTTTCTGCATAGATAAGGAGCAAACGCAAAAGAAATGTCAATTTGCAAAGTCTTCTCAAAGTATTTATAGATTTTTTTTCACCAAATTGCAATTATTAAAAGAATTGAAGGGATTTCTTTTCCTGCTCTTTATTTTTAACTTCAAGAAAAATCTGATTTGATTTGAAGTGTTCGTCACTAGTTTCCTTTTTCTTTTTTTATCCTTTTGCTTTTGGCAGTAAACTGGCATTTCAGATTATGGAGTATAAGTCTTATGACAAATGATGTTTCCTTGGGCTTTTTCTGCATGGAGGGGAAGATGATGTCATGGCACACTTAGCAACATTTCTTCCAGCACTTTGGCAACTAGTCAAGCGTAAAGCCAGCCAGCTTTTTTTAATGGTATATTTTCTAACATTTTACTCCCTCTCCCCCCCACTTTAGTGAAAAAAAAATCAAGTATTTTTCTTAGAAAGTCTAAAAAACACTGCAAAGAAGTGGTCCATTAAATCTGAAAGGCCAAATTTTATGAAGATGTACAACTTGATAAATAAGAGCATTACCAGAGCAAATGCACTGACACTCTTTTACAGACTCACAAATACAAAAAGGCACAGGCACAGACACAAGCACATTACACTGGTGTAATGTGCCTTTATAGGTATGTATAAAAAAGGAGACACGTGAGTGGGAAGGAGAGAAGAAGAGGGCTCACCTCTGGTAAACAGCAGTCTGCCATATGGGAAGGAGGAAGGAAGAAAGCGAGAGAGAATAAGCAGCATGTGCCATAGAGGAGACAGAGAGAGCTATAGGGGAGAGAGAGCTTAGCTCCAGTGAGCAGTGCCTGCCATGGGGGACAGGAGGAGAGGAGAGGAGATGGAGAGCTCTTGTAAGCAGCATCAGTCAGCCACTGAGTCAGGGAGGTAGCTTCCTTGCAAATGATTGTCTCAACTCCTTTAAAACTGTTTCTCCTAGGTGTCTTATCTTTGCCACTGTCCTATCTCCTGTGAGTTCCCTCCTTATAGCTCCATTTGATTTAACTTTAGCCATTTAGGCAGGATAATTTTGCACAGATAAACTGAGGAGCATGTGATGTGAATAGAAAAGAAATATACCTAACACATTCTTTATAACAGCCATAGACAACAAAGGAAGAACAAAGTTAAAATGAGCTATTTCTGATTAGTCTCCAAACTACAAGTCGCAGCACTCAGGCAGCATCGCCACTGTTAAGAGTTTTTAAATATCCTGGAAAGGTGAAAGGAGAACAAAAGAGCTGACTTGTAGAGGCCTGCAGGGAGTTCCTCAAGCAGAAGGGGTGGCAAGGGTGAAAACATGAGGCTGTTTAGTGGGAAACTTTAATAATGGATCCATAATGACTGCAGATCTGACAGAATGGAGACAGTGTTGATGGCATGAGGAGAAGTCAGGTGGGGGTCAAGTCATAAAAAATAGGTAGACTGGGCTTGATGTGATGGAACAGAGTAAGTACTGGTAGAGGAGTAAGAGGTAATGCAGTTGAAATGATGAGCTAAAGTGAAGGTTTTTGAAACATTTCAACTTTTACTTCTTTTATTTTTTTTAAAATCTAAAACACATTCACAGCACAGTCTTCCAGATCTGATTATGCTGGAGGGAAGGGATAGTGAAGACAGCAGGAGCATAAAAGATGTACAAATGGCATGCACTTTGTTATTTTTAAATGCCATTTAAAAGCACCTACTCTGATGAGCTTGCAATAGTTCAGCTATTTGACAGCACATCCAGGATGCAGGGCACATACACGGCAAATCAACATCAGAGCCAGAATTAGAGTCAAGGAGTCCAGAGTTCCAACCCTGCGTAGAGCATAATGACCAGGGGTTCTCCACCAAACCACAGTGGGCAAAACCAGCTCAAAAACCAGAGGTAGGAAAGGATTTAGATCTTTTTAAAGAGAATCTCATTCAATGAAGAGGAACTGGCATGTGGAACAAACTACCAGGGGCAGCAGTGACAGCGGAGTATTGGCAAAACAGTGCTGCACAAGCTCTTCCAGGAGAAATACATACTAGAGCAGAAATCCTAAACAGAATACAGGAGTTGCCAAAAGTCAGCTGAATGGCTCCTTACCACTTCACAGCAAGAGGTTAGCATTTAAGAATTAGGTGAGATTAGGAATTACATAGAAGAAACACTGGAAATACTATGGAAACTATAACAAAAATAAAAAAAATAAAGAAAATGTAAAGCATGGAAAATGGGAAATAAATGGCAATGAATACTAGCTAAAAAGAGGTCAGCAACGGATAAGAGAAGCTAAAGGAATCAATGAAATATCTGTGGCCAACAGGAGCAACCAAAAATCTAGGTCATATATAAGACAATTATTAGATGGAGATGGTAACACCATAAGTAGCAGTGTAGAAAAGGTATCCATTCCCCTCTGATGCTGGAATAGAAATTTCACTATTTGAAATAAGGAAGCATATCAGGCAGCATCTGCTAAACTAACATTTTCAGATCAACAAGCCTAGTAACTTATAACCGAGAGTCTTAGAGGAACTAGATAAGGAGCTCTCAGAATCACTAACATTACGTTTGAACAAATCGTGGGAAACTGGGTACATTTTCAAGGATGCGATGACTACTAATACAACTGATATTTAAAAAGGGTCAAAGGAATGACAGCGTAGACCAGTTAGTCAGATATTGATCCCAGATAAAAAACTGAAGGTAATTCAGGACTGTATCAACAAGGACTTAGAGCTTAAACATGGAATAATGCTAGTCAGCATAGTTTCAGGGAAGGAAGTGCTTATCACAGAAAACCCATCGTCTTATTTTGACAAGATTTCAAGTCTGATGATAAAGGCAGTTGTGATGATATGCTATACTTCCATTTTTTTGAGGAATTTGGCTTAGTTCCCACATGATATTTTGATTACAAAAACTCACATTTTGTGGAATTAACAGAGCTCAAATTAGATGGATTTTAAAAAATGGCTCAATAAGAGATCCTAAAAAGCAGCTTTTAATGAAGAACAATCAGTGAGGAATACCACTTCCAACAGGAAGATTTTTGGTAAAGATTGTAGATAGCACAGGGCTCGGTGAGGTGGTAATTAATTTTCATACTATTGTTATATAGGTACCTGTTAGGGCTGTGCGAAGCTTTGGTAGCTGATTCAATTTGGAGGAGATTCATCCTGATTTGGGGACTGAATCTCCAAATCTGAATCGAATCAGGAGATCAAGTAAAAGCTCCAAATTGATTTGAAGCATCTGAATCGATTCGGAAAATCTTCAGAAAAGGTTTGGCCGATTCAGAGATTCAGCCATGGACTAAACAGGCAGCTGACAGCTGCCTCCAGCTGGTAAGTCTGTTGGGGTTGGGGGAGGGAAGAAAGAAGGCGTGTGGGTGAGGGAGGGATTGGGGTTGGGGCAAGCTTTCCAGCTGGGGCAGGGTGGTGCGTTACTCGGGGAGGGAATTGGGGTAGGCGTGGGATGCGGGCGCAGCAGCGGACTGGGAGTGGGGGCTCTGCCCTGCTGCTGCTTGCCCAGCTGGGGCGGGGAGGTTGGGATGTGGGCACGGCTTGCTCCAGGTGGAAGGGGGCAAGTGGCAGCAGGGCATAGCCTCCGCTCCCAGAGCTGCCGCACTTGCATCCCATGCCTGTCCACACTGGCTGGCAAGCGGCTCCAGGGCAGAGTCCCCTCTCCCAGTGTTGATGTGGGTGTGGCAGCGCTGGGAGCAGGGGCTATGCCCTGCTGGCACCCGAAGCAAGTCATGCCTGCATTGTGCCCCCCCGCCCCGCTGGCTGGGCAAGTGGCAGCAGGGCATAGCCCCCATGGTTCCTTCCGCTGGGGCAGAGGCAGAGGCAGAGGCAGGCACAGTCAGAGGAGCCACAGGAGAAGCCCCCATGGCTGCCCTGCCCAGTCCCAACCCTCCCGCCTCTAAGGGCTCAAGGACGAGCCCTCCTGTGCAGTGTGGGGCAGTTTGGGGGTAGCGGGGATTGCCCCCCCTGCTTGGTACCCATGCAGAAGCTTTCCCATGGCACAAGTGCAGCGTGGCTTGGCAGGGCACTGTGCACTGTCTGGGAGGTGGGGGGCTCCAGCTGTCAGCCGGAGCCCAGCACCACTCAGTCCCAGTGGCCCCAGGCAGCATGCAGCACCCTGCTGAGCGGTGCTGGACCCGCACAATGCAACAGCTGCCATGCGGGTGCCAATCTTGGGGGGGGGGGTGACCCCTGCTGCCCCCCACTGCCCTGTGCTTCATGGGGGGGGCTCTGCCATGAGTGCTTGGAGGCCCCAATTGCTGCTCCTGCAGCTTGTGAGTACAGGTTGTTGTTTTTTTTTAAAGTGCCAGGAGTAGGCTGGGGCTAGGCAAGGGGTGGGGCTGAGCAGGGCAGCTATGGGGGCTTCTCCCATGGCTCCCCCCACCCAGGGAAAGGCAGACACAGCTGGAGGACCCATGGGAGAACCTGTAGCTGCCCGGCTGTGCCTGCCTCTCCCTGGCTGATCTGAATCACCAAATCGCTTTGAATAAGAGCTGAATCTTCTGAAGCTGATTCAGCTGAATTGATTCAGGACAGTAATCCAAATCTCTGAATCAAATCACTGTCCTCTGAATCAGCTGAATCTGAATCGAATACTTCCCTATTTGCACAGGCCTAGTAACTGGTTCAAACACAACCCAACCACTTGTATTTCAATATAATCAAATGCAAGATGATAATTTGGAAGCCATCCTACAGGCTAGGTCACTCTGCTTTAGAAAGCTGCAACTCGGAGAAGGACTTAGGCATCGTGGATATATAATTGTCTCAACAGGAGCTGTTGGTGCATGGCTGTGGCAGAGTGGGTTATGATTTTCCCTTGGTGAGAGTGGTAGAAATGTCAGGATTTTTCACTTTTCTCTCTAAGGTCATCTGGGCATGTTCCTTGCCACTGCAGTGGTCATAGGCACTGATGGCACCTCCATCTTACTTCTGGTATATAGTTTTCTGAGGGTTCAAAGCAGATTCACAGAATTTCCACTCTGGCCCCTCCTACTCAAAGCACTCCTAATGACAACCTTAACATCCTTAGTATAAAACACCTACAATTTGCCACAGGAAGAAAGCAAGAGAGAGAGATTGAGAGAGAGAGAGAGAGATAAGGAAAGGTGCCACCAAGATCCCACCTGTTACAGGGAATTTGTTAGGTAAAATATGCCCAGATGATCCTAGGAAATGGACCATGTCCCATACTGCAAGGGAAGGCAACACACTCCTTCCCTCTACCTCCCAAAACAATCCTTGTTTATTTGACCTGGGGGAAAATTCCTTTCTAAACTCAAATCTGGTGGTTATTTTTGACTCAAGTGCATACGGAGAACCCACAACAACATTTGCCTAACACCTTTAAAACATCTTTAAACAACAAATGTGGGAACAAAAATGAATAAGCTGGCTGGACGCTAAGAACAAAGGACTAACACTGGTCTTGGATTTATTATCCATTAATAATTTATCCAACTTCTGAATATGTTCCACACATGGAAGGTGAGAGTGAACCCCCTCATTCCCCATTTTGATGAGCCTTGATCTACCAGAACTCAGCTTCTTCTTTTTTGTTGCTTATTGTGTGTCTGCTGTACCTGAGAATTTCTCTCGCCCCCTTCCCTATGCTGCACTCAATGTGCTGTGCCTAGCTCCCTACAATCAGAGTCCCGAGAAAGAATGTCTTGTATTCTTAAGCTTGTCTAAGTTTGTCCCAGCTACATAGTTGGTTCAATAAAAGATATTACCCTAAGATATCATTGGCTCTCACATAATTTCTGGACCATCATGGCTACATCATCATCACTCTTATGCTATGGTAAGATTCTAAGAAAGCACTTTGGTGAAAAGGGGAAAAAAAGTGTATGTGTGGGGGATGGGAAGGGGGTTGAAAAGAGACATTAAAAATATAAAAGTATTTGTAAAAAGGAGTACCCAGATGCTCTAGAGGCTGGGGGGGGGAGCATGGCGACTGTTTGCAGGAGGCATCAGCAGTGTCAGCAGTGGGGGTGTGCCAGCAGTGAGCAGAAACTGCCAGCAGGCAGCCACGGTGATGTCAGCAGGAAGGGCAGGCTGAGCGGGGATCACCCGCAGTTGGCCATGGTGACATCTGAGGCAAGGGCTGGGGGGGGAGCAGCGACCGCCGGCAGGTGGCAATGCAGGCATCGGCCAATTTTAGGGGGTGCATGTGCCCCCCTGTGCTCCCCTACACATCACTTATGTTAGTGGGCATGTCTACATGAGATGCTTCGAGTGCAGTAAACTAACTTTACTGCACATTAGTGCGGCAGGCAAAATCCATGCTAATATATAGTAGATTTAGTCTACTGTGCATTAACGTCACAAAAAGACTGTTCATTTGCACTAATGCACTGTAACAACAATTATGGTGCATTCAATTAGTATCTGTCATTACAGGTACTAAACATAATGTGTCCCAATTAAAGTGCATTAATGAATGCGTACATG